AAGGGCGTTGAAGACTTCTTTCTCTGCTTATAAAAAGCAAACAGAGGACTTAGTGGCTGCGAGCAAACAGCTCCAACCCGCAGTAGAGGAGGAGGAGGATGGAGATCCGGAGGCAGCTTTCCAAAGAAAGGGGAAGAGGGCTGCTAGCTTGTCAAAGGAGCCCACCGTGGCGAGGGCTGTCCCAGTCCTCCGCCAAACAACAATCCACACTGGCATGGCCATAAGGGAGAGGACTGCGGCTCCTGCTACTGCTGTTGTCTCGGCTAATCCCCTAATTTCTGCCATACCAGTTACACAAGTGTCGAGACAACAGAAAAGGAAGAGGGCTCGCTCTGAAAAGGAGGTGGACTTCCTGGGTACCAATAAAGAGGAACTGGTGAGGGAGGGGTTGGAGGCCTTGCCTCCGGAGACAGCAACCATTGCCCTGGTCCATAGCAAGTATTGGACCGAGGAGTGGAAATACCACACAACCTCCTGCACCGTCGAAGAATTGGTAGCTACCAACAGTGCTTGCATTGCCCGGGCCCTGAGTACAAGTGTTCAACTTCAAGGCTTGGTCAAAGACCTCAGTGCGAAGAGGGATGATCTGGCCAAGCATCTGGATGAGGCACTGCACTACGAGGACGCCGTGTGGACCGTCCAAGCCAAGGCCTCAGAGGTAGAGAAAGCAAGGCAAAAGGCGAAAGGTCAGCTGGTGAGGGCCAATGAGGAGATAAAGAGGCTGAGGAATGAGCTCTATGAAGTGAAGTGTCAAATGGCTATGATGACAAGGAGAGTTGATCATGCCAACAAGCACCACCGGCTCGCCACTGAGGCTCTGGAGGCCTCCAATAAAGAGAAGACCGAGTTGAGGCAACGGGCAAAGGCCCAGGCTGAGGAGATCGAATCTCTGAAGGCCAAGGTGAAGGCGGTGGAGGAGTCAGCAGTGCAGAACTTTATTGATCACTTCTAAGAACATCTACTGTATGACGACTTCGCCAACTTTTAGGTCTTGTGAAATGCCCAGGCAATGTTGGATCGCTTGAGGGAGGTCCACCCAACTCTGGATCTAACATCCCAGGAAGCAGAGTTCGATGGGCCTACTAGAGGTCGACCTGATAAGGTCGTCGAAGAAGCTATTGAAGCCCCCCCAAGAGGCCGAATCGGAGTCTGGAGCTGAAGACGCCCCTCCAATAGAATAGGGATATTTTGTAATTGCTTCGGCCTACCTCTTGTAATTTGCTTTGATGTTAATGAAATTAAAAAAAAAAATTCCAAGTGTTGTTGCTTCTTCCCTTTACATTTATGTTGAACTGTTTGTATCTTGATGAGTAACAAGCAAATATTAAGCATTACTTACCAATAATAACGAGTCGATGACATAAGAATTGACCCATATAAGCACTGAAGGACTGAGGCACCAATTGATTAAACCACATAACATGATGGAGAACTGTGGTATTATAACTTTAGGAACTTACATTATCTTTCACTAAGGCAGTTCAATACTCAGTAAGATAGGAATGTTACAATGCTATACAAAATGTAGATCGGATCAGAACATACACAACACTGATAGTACTTCCTCAAGTGTTCAATGTTCCACTGATGATGAAGCACCTTCCCTACCATGTCTTCGATTTCATAAGTGCCGGGTCGAGACTCCTTACAGATGTGATAAGGACCTTCCCAGTTCAGTCCAAACACTCCAGACCCAGTTGGCTTAGATGATTGAAAGACCCTTTTGAGGACGAGGTCCCCCACGGAAAGAGTTTGGTTTCTGACCTTGAAGTTGTAATAGCAGGTCATCTTTCTTTGATACTTGGCCAATTTTATTTGGGACGAATCTCTCATTTCTTCAAGGAGGTGGAGTTCGTACACTTGAGCTTCGTCGTCGTCGATTTCATTGAAATGTATCCGATGATGAGAGGAGATTCCCACCTTGACAGGACTTATGGTTTCAGGTCTGTAGGTCATGGAGACGGGTATTTCACCTGTTGCTATTCGACAAGTTGTTCGAATGGCCCAGAGGACATGGAAAAGCTAATCGACCTATGCTCCTTTCGAGGCGTTAAACTTCCTTTTCAGGGTATGCTTGATAGTCTTGTTCACTGCCTCAACTTGCCCGTTGGCTTAGGGGTGATGAGGTATTGAGAAGTCCTTCCTTATGCTGAGTTCATCACACAAGTCTCGCATCTTTTTATTATCGAATTGCCTACTGTTGTCAGACACTAAAGAGTGGGGAATGCCGAACCTGCAAATGATATTTTTCCAGACGAACTTTGTGATGTTCGCTCAGTGATTCGTGCTAGAGGTTCAGCTTCGACCCACTTGGTGAAGTAGTCAACGGCAACGATGGCAAAAATAGTGTTTCCTCTTCCTTTTGGGAGCGACCCAATAAAGTCGATGTCCCATTTGGTGAACGGCCACGGGCTGGTCACCACGGAAAGGCTCTGAGAAGGCTACCTTTGAATATTTGAGAAGCGCTTGCACTTGTCACATTTTTGAAAAAACTAGCAAGAGTCCCTTTTCAGAGTTGACCAAAAGTAGCCTTGTCAAAGTACTTTATGCGCCAGAGCTGTTCCTCCGAAGTGGTTACCGCAGACTCCCTCATGGATCTCCCTGAGTATATACATGGCTTCTTCCCCTCCAACACATCAGAGAAGTGGTGAGGCGAAGCCCCTTTTGTAGAACACATCATCCTGGAGAACAAAGTGAGCAGCCCTCCTCTTCAATTTCTTAGTCTCGCTTCTCAAGATTGGCAGTGATTGATCTTTGAGGTAGGCTACGATGGGTTGCATCCAAAGTGAGGTGCCTTCAATCCATAGTACATCTTCGCCACCGGAGATAGAGGGCTTCGGTAGGCGCTCTATTGGGACAATTTTTAGCAACTCCGAATCTCTGCTACTAGCCAATTTGGACAGAACATCAGCGTGTGTATTTTCGAGGCGTGTGACTTGAACTAGTTTGAATCTCTTGAAGTGATGGACAATTTCAGATATATAGCCATGCCACTGTCCTTGGCTGCAAACTATCTGTTGACTGACTTACCACAAGCTGCGAGTTGCTACTTGCTAGGAGCCTTCTGACTTGCATTTCTTTCGCTAGTCTAAGGCTTGCTAGGAGGGCTTCATATTTCACAACATTGTTCAAGGCTTTGAAGTCGAACCTAATTGCGCAGTTTAGCTTATAGCCTTCTGGACTTTCCAAAACGACTACTACTCCGAAGCCAGTTTCTCCTAATGATCCATCCACAAATAGGTTCCATGTTGGAGGCTTAGTTAGTTCCATCGTCACCTCAATTTCTTGGCCTTTGGCAAACTCAGCCACAAAATCTACGAGGCTTGGCCCTTGATGGTGTTTCGGGGTTGGAACAGTGGGTCGAACTCACTGAGCTCGATTGCCCATTTTAGCAAATGGCCCGAAGTATTTGTTCACTACAATACTTGTTTCAAGGGGAAGTTGGTGAGCACTTCAATCAAATGAGCCTGAAAGTATAGCCTCAATTTCCTTGATGTTGTGACAAGAAAGAGTGCAAGCTTTTTCACATTTGGGTAGCGCGTCTCTGCTGGAAGTAGTGTCTTGCTAACATAGTACACCGGCAGTTGATGCATATTTTCCTCTCTGACAAGGACCGTGCTGATAGCCTCGTCTGAGACCACTAAGTACAGCAGCAGGGGTTCCCATGGTTCAGATTTGGATAGTAGGGGTGCCTCTCCTAAGTGTTTCTTCAGCGCTTGGAAGGCTTCCTCCCACTCATCCGTCCATTGGAACTTCTTTCCTTGCTTCAAGACTTTGGAGAAGGGTAGGCTCTTGTTAGTGGCCCTGGAGATGAAGGGGCTGAGTGCGGCTATCCGACCGTTGAGGCTTTGGACCTCATTTGGCTTCTAAGGTGACGTCATTTCCAGTAAGGCCCTTATCTCTTTCAAATTTGCCTCGATTCCTTTTTGGTTCACAATATACCCTAGAAATTGACCCGAAGCTACCCCGAAAGTGCACTTTAGAGGGTTCAACTTCATTTTATACTTCTAAGAATCTGAAAGGTCTGGTCCAGGTGACTTATGTGTTTTTTCGCCTGAAGGCTTTTAACTAACATTTCGTCCACGTAGACTTCAAAATTTTGCCAATGAGCTCGGCAAACATCATATTGACCAGCCTTTAGTATGTAGCTCCGGCATTTTTCAATCCGAAGGGCATCAACTTATAACAATACAATTCTCTGTCTGTGATGAATGAAGAATTCCTCATCAGGTCGGAACATGGGTATCTGGTTGTATCCTGAGTATGCATTCATGAAGTTCAAGAGTTCATGTCTAGTAGTGGAGTCCACCAACTAGTCTGTCCTTAGGAGAAGGAAGTTGTCCTTGGGACATGCCTTGTTCAAATTTGTGAAGTCTACACACACCCTTCATTTTTCGCTAAATTTTTTTACTAGAATCGGGTTGGATATCCACTTCGGATAAATAGCTTCTCTGATGAAGCCGATGCGGCTTAGTTTGTCGACTTCTTCTTTAAGCGCCTCATATCGTTCTGAGTTGAGGACTCGTCTTTTCTGTCGATGTGAAGCGCATGAGGAGTTGATGTTAAGGTGGTGACAGCGGACCCTTGGGTCTATTCCCACCATGTCTTCGTGTTTTCAGGTGAAGACATTTAGGTTCCTTTTTAGGAAGTTTATCATTTCTTCTTTCATTTCAGGGGGTAGCGCTTTCCCAATCAGTAAAGACCTGAGTGAGGTCTTCAGGGTTGGTGGGGAAAGTTTCTAATTCTTCCACTGGGGTTGCATTTGGTTCGGACTCGATGATTCGAGGATCTAACTCATCAAGAGGGTTCCCTTCTTCAGGGACCTCTACCACATCGACGTCTTCCTCCTGTTTAGAGGTATGCCCTTGTTCAGGGGTGTCGAGCATTTCTGTGTCCACGTCAGATCCGTTGGCAGCCTCTGTTAGGATAACACTAACAGTTCGGGGTTCGAATTTTCGCAGAGAGTTGAGGTAACATGCCCTTGAACCCATTTGGTCGCCTCAAACTGTAGCAATCACATGCTCATTTGGGAACTTCATACACAAGTAATGGATGGATATAACTACCCAAAGATCTTTCAAGGCAAGTCGGCCCAATACTTCATGGTAAGCTGATCTGTAGTCAACCACTAGGAACTCCACGAAGTGGTGGGTTATTGGGGATGCTGACCCCATCTCGACAGGTAGAGTAATTCGCCCTCGTGGGATGATGCTATTGCTAATAAATCCAAATAGCGGGCCAGTCATGGTGGTCAACCCATGTTCAATCTGTATTTTATCGAAGGTGGATCCGAATAGTATATTCATCGAGCTGTAATTGTCGATGAGCATGCGTTTGAGTCCGTTTCGAGCCATTACGACTCTTATCACTAACGCATCACAATGGGGGTGGTGAACTCCTTGCGCATCTTCTTGAGAGAAAGTGATTGGGGCCATCATGTTGGCCTCTTGGGTCTGATTGACAATATAGGTAATCATTGATGGATCCTTCACTTCTCTTGTGTAGTTCCTTTGGGCGTTCCTAGTGTTGCCCTCGATGTGAGGTCCTCCAATAATTATATCAATTTCCATAATAACTTGGCCTCCAGATGGGACCTGATCCCTATGCCTGGACTCTCCTTTGTCCCTGGATTCTCTCCTCCGGAGAGATTGGTCTCTATACCGCCTCTCTCCCCTATTTGGGGAGGTGGACCTGCGAGGGTATTCTTCCCTCGACGGGGTACTCTGGTTTAAGGATCGAGGAGCATCGCTACATTCGCTGGTGTCGTGTCCGTAAAGTTGGTGAAATGTGCAGAACCTTGCCCCTTCCAGTGGCCTATTTGATCGCTTCTTCTTCTTCTTTCGATTGTTTGTTCCCTCGAATGGCTCTGCTTCAGCACGAGTATTTTCATATGCTAGCACTGGCACTGCATTTAGAGTGCTGAAGTCAATGCATGTCCGGATGTGGAGGCTACTGTGTGACCGGCCTGGGTTCATTGCTGGGTGATGAGGTGTGCGGCTGGTCCTTGACCCATCTTCCTTTGAGGCAGGGGAAGTCCCTAAGCCGCAAGGTTCCGGCAGGTAATCATCTCCTCAATAACGATTTTCATCCTCATCATTTCAACCAGCTCGTCATAGGTGATGGGATTCTTGCTGCGTACATCTCTCCAGAACAAAGTGTTCATGTTGATGCCGCCTTTCAAGGCTGAAAGGGCCTTTCTGTCAGTGACTTGCTCGCAGTATGTGATTTTATCGGTGAATCTGGCGAGATAGCTTTTCAGCGTCTCGCCAGAAGCTTGCCTCATATCTTACAAGCATTGCATTGGGGCTTCTCCTTCCTTTCATGAAACATATTGGTTCAGAAATACCTTCTTCAAGTCTGGCCAGCTTCTGATGCTCAGGGGTGGTAATCTGATGTACCACACTTCAGCAGCTCCGGTGAGGGTTAGATGGAAGGTCCTACATTTCAGTGCCATGTACTTAGTCAAGTGAGGCTCATCTGCGTCATGTACTTAGTCAGGTGTTTCTGTGGACCCCTCTTTCCTTCATACTTTGGGATTTTAGGGGGGAAGCTTTAGATTTCTCTGGAGAAAGGAAGGTTACCATTATCGTCATCAATTTCGTAGGAGCGACATGGCCCTTCGGAGTTTTCCCCCTCTGATGCATTTTGGGAAGGTGGAGATGCATCTTCTCGACTACCCAAATCCACTAGGTTTCTTCTCTCCCGCCTATTTCTAGGTGGAGGAGGTATTTGTTCTTGTTCTCGCTCTTGTCGAACTGATCTCTATGCGGAGCGGACCCTATTGCTAGGGTTCTGCCCTATTCTGTCGAAGACGCTGACAGACCTTTGTGGTTAGTATTCTGGTGTGAAGTTCTCTCCTAGCGGTGGTTCTGTTGGTTGGCTTCCATGTGCATAGGATGTCACATCCACACCCACTTTTCTTTCAAGGGGATGTTCCCGGTGCAGGCTCGAATGGCTTCGACCATGAGACGCAGGAATATTTGAGTTGGGTAAAATCCTTGAGGCACCTGGAAGCCCTGATGACCTCGAGCTTGCATAAAGAATTCACGCATTGCCACTTTCTGAGCTGCAATGTCCCTCATTACAGCAGCTATTTGAGTCATTCCTTCAATAAGCGCTGCTATCCTATTGCCTCGGTGACGCCGGTGATGGGGTCTCTAATGCTTGACATTGGTCCTGATTACCTCTACTTCAGAGTGCCCTTCAAAATATACATATTCATTACTATAACTCATCTTGTCTACCTTTCCAAGGGTGTTAAGAACTTCGATTGTAGGTTGACTTTGTTCTTTTTCAAGAACGTGCCCTTTTCAGGGTAAATTAATGGTTTGTCGGTGACTTTTCCGATGGACAATGTGGGATTTTTGGACGAAAAGTTTCCCACAGACGACGCCAATATGTTGACCTCGAGAATTGAGTCCTTCACGTGGCCAACGGATAGCTACTCCTCGTAATCCTCCCTGTGCACAATAACGCAGGGTCAGAAGTGCACGATTGGAACCAACGGTAGTGGCGGCGGCCGCATACACTCCGAAGGTCAAGTTAGCGTTGGGTGATCGGAATAGTGCTCAAATTATATAAGAGAGTGGGGAGGAGAAAATATATCTCTTAGTGTGGAGAGTTAAGTTATAAGAGTTTCATTTCTTTTGTCTCTTGCCAAATCTTGATTATTTATAGACGTAGAGTACCGTTGGATATGAGACACGTGTATGCATCTAACGGTGTGAAGCGTCGGCTCATAGGCATCAATCAGCCGCTTCTAGAGTGGACGGACAATTAGTTCTTTTGAGTTGAGTTGACATAAAATCGATATGTCACATCAACTGGACTATGGAGACGTCACATCAATTGATCCTCAGAGGCAGAGGGGATCCTGTCAGATATCTTTCTGACAGTGGCGCAGAGGGATCTGTTAAAGGAGTGCCTCGGAGTGCTTGACGCTTCGGAGTTGAGGAACACTTTTGTTGCTTCAGTGGATCTACTCTTCACCTTACAATGCGCCATGTTGAAGTCGTCAGGAGTGGGCATCACTTCGGATGAACATGTGTCACTTCGGGAAGTGGCGTGACTGTTGTTTCGAAGTGGTTTAGCTAGTGGATGGATACGTGGGAGTGGTGTGACAGTTTTTCCGAAATGGTTTAGTTATGGGTGTAACAATAACAAATTTGTTTAATTGCCCAGTGCTTATTATAGAATTTTAATGTAAAAGAAACTTGATAATTACGTTTTTATCTCACAATTATAACAAATTACTCTTTTCAATGCCTTATGTCATTTTTACATATGCTCAAATATGATTGTCGTGGGCGTCGGTCACGACAAGTCGTCGAGATTTTTGTTTGATCTAAATCTTGAATTTCTCATTTGTATTGGTAGTGGTGATGACAATGCAGATAGGTGTCGATGGTGGTGGAATAGGTAGCCGGAATGGTGGTTACAGTTAGTGGTGGTAAAAATAGAGGGCAACAGTAGTGATGGTTTCAACGATAAAATTATTTATTTATTTGTAACGATTAAATAGAGGACCATTAGTGATGATTATCATCTTCTGCAAGAGAACGTGTCAATGCGTCGAAATAAATTGACATCTTGTAAAAAATGTAGCAAGATCACGAGTATCTTCCTTGTTGAATTCCACAAGACAGAAAAACAAGATGGACCCACCCAAAAACCGACGCTGACGAGGAGTGACTTACAAGGTACAATTGCGGCAATTTGGCTGCCACGTGTACTATTCCTGCACCAACTGGGCCCCAGTGTCTAAACCTATTGTGACATCTACCCAAATCTCAGTGTTCTCCTTGGACTTGGTTCTAAAATTTGATCAGGGTATGTTCATAATATGCAGTTGCTGTCTATTTAGCCCGTGTTTGATGTGAGAAAAATTCAGATATTTAGTACTAATTTTTAATAAAAATTGATGGATTGTCTTGTTGAAATTGAAATATTGTGAAGATAGTGAAATGTATAATTAAAATGAATTATTAATTTTAATTAACTTCAGTAGTTGAATCAAATATTAACTTCGTGGTATGAACTAATGCTACATTTGTATAGGCAAAATGTTGATAATCATAACCGAAAATGATGAAATTTTATTGCACAATTGAAATTTTATCATGAATTAATTATCCCTCGATAAATTGTAAACTCGAAAGATTGTATCTATCAAGTCATGTTTAAATTAAACTAATATACAAGTCCTATTTGATTTATATTTACCCCATGTTTGGTGGAAATTAAAATCAAATTTTTAGTCTGTTTTGATAAAAATATGTGATTAAAAAATTGGGAATCCTACAAAATATTTAATTAAAATTAATTGTTGACTTTAATTTAAATTTTAATTTTCACAAGGGCTTAGTTCTCGCAAGAATGCATACATATTTTATCTTCTTAAAGTTGATCGAATTGAGTTGCAATTCTAACTACTAAATAAATTTTGAGATCTTTAGAATCATAAGAATATAGATACCTTTGTTGCTTATGAATTTATTTGTAGTATTCCAATCAATTGATATACTAAAATCTATATCATGAGACTATCTGCTAGTAACATGTGTTACTCCGTGTGGTCGACTTATCAAAAAAAATGCAAACACAAAAATTTGAGGTTATGTTTAGTAAATTTAGTGTTTGTTTGGTAGGGATTTTGATAATTGATTTTTTGACTGTTGGAGATAAAGTGAGTCCTATCTGTGAGAGAAGAATTCAAAAATGACAACTAAAATAGTGAAATAACGATCAAAAAATTAATTTTAATTGACTTTTAAGCTATACCAAATAAACTCTTATAAAGGGAATGAGGAGTGGATCACAAGATGTGAACGACGTTAAAAATTTGAGGTTCCGCAGATTCTTTTCTTCAGAACAGGTGCTTTCACGATTGGCACAGTTTCCAAACCTTACTTTCACTTTACTCAGTGTTTTATTTGACTCATCCAATTTTGACCAGTCAACTTCCTTGACTGATTAGCCATGATCAGCATGGTCCCACAATTTTAAACTGTGGCCCACCACATTTGTTCAATCCAGTTTGGGGTTTCTGCCATTTGTTTTGAAAATTGGATCCGCCCGACAGCTTCGACTTTAAAATTTGAAAACCAATGGCATGATATAAACTAGGGAGAGACGTGATTCACTTCTTTTAACTAAGGGACAAATAGTCAATTCAAAAACATCAAAAGAGAGCCCGACTCTTAGGATCGCAAATCTTCATAATGTATCGTCGTAGTTTGCAGTATAATTTATGATGCTAAAGATCCTCAAAAGTAGCAATAACAATAGCAATAGCATACTTATTTAACTGCTCAATTAGATGATTAACGTGACAAATTAAAAATTGAATAATTTTCACTAGCTTATTCGTTTGTAAATAGATCATTTCTCCCTCTTCTTCTTTTTTTAATTTTTTTTTTTTTTTACCATATATGTGACTCCAATTCAACTGTAGACCCTTTATATTTTTTCGAATGTGACAATACTTTTTAAAATAATATCTTCTACTTAATTTTCCATCAACGTTATCTACTCCCTATTTGGTAGGAATTTAAAATCTAGATTTTAATATAAGTTAAAGTCAACAATTAATTTTAATATTTCATTAATTTTTTTAAAAAAAAATTCACTAAAAATCTTATTTTAATCCATCAAACAGGTCTAATATCATTAATTTTTTATTTTAGAGGTGTTTGGGGGGCAAAAGGCATTTTCTGATTGTCATGGTATCCTGAGTGGGATCAATCATTGTCTGTTTATGCTAATAACATACAACTTAATGATGACAGATTAGAATATTTGTCTCTGGGATCATTGATTTTCCCACCAATCCAATAATAATTGCATCTCTATAATAAGAACGTTTAGGGACAGATAAAGATTTCGAAGTGGCTTAAGAATTAGGATTTGGGATTTTCTCTTATTGGCTAATTAGCATTTCATTTGATTGCATGTGATTATCATTCGTTGGATGGCTTAATGGATAAGAAACATTTGTTAGTTTTAATAATATTGCTTTAGAGGAAATGATTAAAGGAGATATGTGACAAATTTTGCAAGAACCTAACCATAATATTATCAAAGGTTTTTGCAATGATAAAATAGGAAGATATTGTTCTTTTTTCCTTAAATATATACGTGGAGAAACTCGTGATGATTGCATTGTTTCAAATTCTTATAATTTCAAACTCATGTGATTTTTTAAAGTAAAGGAAAAAAGTATTTCATGTTCTTGCTATTGTTTAGCAAAATTATCCCCAAACAATATTACGGTATATTTTGATATATGTAAAACTTGTACTTTCTGATATGTGCTTTTTGACACGATTTCTATGGAGATATTTGATACAAACATGGATTGATCATACTGAACATTGAACAAATAAAATAATTATGATAGGATTGATCGAAGGAATCTTGCCATCCAAATTGAGTTTTTGAGGAACTCCCTCCCTCTTTTCATTTCCTTTTCTCCTTTTAATGGAGACAAAACGTTACATAATC